GTGTTGCAAAATGTCTAAACAGTTGTTTGCACTTTAGTAAACATTTTTTGCACTTTAATACACATTTTTTTTCACTTTAATAAACATGTTTTTCTGGTTTCCAGGGTTAGATGGAGGGGGAGTAATTCACTGGCTAGAGGGTTGTTGTTGTTGTTAAGTGCCGTTGAGTCGGTTCCGACCCATAGCGACCCTGTACAGGGTTTCCGAGGGTGTAAATCTTTACGGGAGTAGAAAGCCTCATCTTTCTCGCGCGGAGCGGCTGGTAGTTTCGAACTGCTGACCTTAAGGTTCACAGCCCGATTCGTAACCACTACGCTACCAGAACTCCTGTGCTAACTTGGGTGAAGGGAAGGTAACATATAAGTATGTGGGAGGTTAGTAAAAAATGATAGAGCCAGGGGGAGACAATGGAAGAGTGTAAATGTTAAAGGCAATAGAGGTAAATACTGTTATATCTGTAATCCTGTTATAACAGTGATGCACAGGGTGTAGCATCATAGGATAAGCATTGCACTGCTAGCTACAAGGTTGGTTTGTTCAAATCTACCAGCTGCTCCTCAGAAACCCTATGCATGGGAGTTATGAATCAGAACCTACTTAATGAACCTAACAATAAACAACAGCTCAAGTAAAAGCATAAATAGACTTTGAGGATGAAGGAATGTGGGAGGGAGAGAGGGCATATACCCTCAAATATATATGTACATGAATATTTGCCTTTATAGGAAATACATCTATACATGTAGTAGGACAAACAGGGGGCAAAGTTATGAAAACACCTTGAGAGAATGAGTTGCTGTGTCTGGTGGTTCAGGACTATAGTCTAAGGGGATACCACAAAGACTATGTTCTACATTCTACTCAGCAACTGGGCTCACAAAGCTTGTGAGCAGTTATCTAAGGTCCAGAGGAAAGAAGAAGAATTAGAACCAAAGTTACATGGACCAATGGACCATATGAGCATCAATATTCATGACCCTGAGACCACAACAACTAGATTGTGCCCAGTTACCACTGCCAAAAGAACCAACAGATCTGTATTGGAAGAAGTGCAGCCAGAGTGCGCCTTGGAGGCCAAGGTGACCAAACTTCGTCTCTCATACTTCAGATTTATTGTCAGGAGGGACCAGTCACTGGAGAAGGATATCATGTTTGGTAACGTGGATGATCAGAGAAAAAGAGGAAGACCCCCAACGAGATGGATTGGCCAGGTGGCAGCATTGATGGACTCAAGTGTGGCGACAGTAGTGAGGTTGGCTCAGGATCAGGCAGTGTTTCATGCTGCTGTGCATAAGGTCTCTATGAGTCAGTACCAACTCGATGGCAACTAACAACAACAACAACCACTACTAACTACTATGAAAGGGGTCACATTAGAAGGTACTGGATAGAACTGGAGAAACTGAAGAACGAAACTCAAAATCATAAAATAAAACAAAACAAAATAGACTTGCTGGTTGTAGCATGGTGGATCCCTGTACTATGGCCCTTGGTCACCCTCCAGATCTGAAACTGAACTCACCCCTAGGATTCAATTTTCAGCCAAGTGACTGAGAGATCTACAAGCAGAGCAATGCCACTAGGGAAGTACAGACACGTTAGAATAATCAGCCATTTGTGATCAGAAGGGCAGCATTTGTACAAGGACAAAGTTCAGAAGGGCTAGGAAAGAAGGAGGAGTGGAAACAGGAAACACAGGGAGGAAGTGGGATGAGTGAGGTTTCATTGAGGCTACTGCAACGAGAGGAAATGAAATGTGCATGAACTGTCAAATGTAAACCTGATCATCTGCTTTGTAAACCTTCACTCAGTTTACAACGAAAGACAATGGGGCTGTGATTTTGCTTCTTGGGGAACCAAGTGGGAGTTTAATGTACACACCCAAGAGCGTGGATGCTAGTCTGGATTCTCTGAAGGAAAGTTGTCCCTTAGTTGGTTACAAGTAATTCTACACGGGAATGCTGGAAAATCAGTCTTTGAATCCACATGACTAGTGAGTGATAGGCAAATCCAAACCTTCTTGCATCACAGGTGAACCACACACTGTAGTCATACGCAAGAACAGTTTTTACTTTATTTAGTCACCTGGAAACACAGAAGTCCCAAAGCTGTGTTAGAAATACAGCAGTCAGTCGAAAGGTGTTGCTACTAGGGTTCTAAGTCATACCTGCATGGTTTTATCTCAAAGAAAATACGTTTAAACATATCTCTGCAATCAGTGGGTGGCTGCAGATAAGCTCTCTTAGTAATGCACTTGTGTTAGCTTCCTTAGGATGCCTTAAAAAAAAAAAAAATACTAAAAAAAGTGTCGTGTAAAGGTCAGCTAGCTCAAAGAGCTGGTCCTTCCATCAGTAATAGCAAGATCAAAGCTAGTGAAAATGATTTTATGGAATGAATTGTAACCAGGGATGAGTCTTGAATTTGCCAATACAGTCTAAAGAACCAAGGCTCAATCAAAACGAGTTTCTGAAGAGATCTGCTAGGCCAGCCAAAATGCAGGCAGAGGGGTCAGCTCAGAACGTTATGACAATGGGCTGTTGGGATTCCAAAGAAGTCATCTTGATAGATTTTCTTGAAGGACACAGGACAATCTTGGGTCTTATTATAAAGAAGTTTTAAGAAAATGGAAACTGCATTGTTGAGAGAAAGGCCAAGAAAATTGTACCAAGGAGTTATTTCCCATCATGACAACCCACATGCTCCTTCTTTGAGGGTAGCAATGGCTTATTCGATGAGAATTTTATTGGGAAACCTTATTCCCATCCACTCTATGAGCTGATCTTGCCCCTTCAGATTGCGATTTGTTTCCCAAATTCAAAGAACCCTGAAAAGGAACACGATTTGAATCCCTTGGTGACGGCAACACTTCCATTTTGACATAGTGTCAATCAAAGAGCACAGAATACTTTGGGGGAAGGATGAAAACCCCACTGCCATGGAGTGGATTCCAGTTCCTAGTGATGCCGTGGGACAGAGTAGAGCGTCTTGTTAATGTCTGCTTCTTTAAGGAAGCAGACAGCCTCATTCATAGTTCTCTCACGGAGCAGCTGATGGACGTAAACTGCTGACCTTTTGGTTAGCAACTAAAAGATGAAATCATGACCTTCGTAAGCTGTCGGCTATGCCAAGCTTATGCTTAATAAAAGTTTCTATGATTTTTTAAGCATGCTTTTTTACTTACCCTTGTACACATATTATTCAAAATCATCAACCAAACAGAGAATGCATCAGTGACCTCTAGCAGATGGAACCCCCTCCCCCGCCGCCCTACCCACTTCTCTGGGAGGGTACTATACTAGGAGTTCACAGTTTTCACCGTCAGTGGAAAGGGTCCAGAAGCTGCAAGCCCAAGTGCAGAACAAAACATTGTTTGCTATTGTTGCTCAACGTGTCCAATTATGGGAAATGGAAAATATGTGTCAAAGTTGATTCTTCCTCCTCCATCTGTCTGCCTTGTCATCAGGTGGTGGGACACATTGCCATGGTACCAGGGAGCTCAGCACAATGGAGCAGGCAGATATGCTTTTGGACAACGGAAGAGAAGGCCAACCTGGCCTTGGTTTTGCCCCCCATCTGATGAAGAAGATGCTTGAAGGTTGAGTCTCCAACCAGAAATCATACGCAAACAGACAAGAGAGCTGCTACCTGTCTGTCTGTCCTACTGTGGTAGTGTGTGTGTTACTGAGCTGCTGGAAGCTCTGTCATTGATATTTCAGATACCAGGAGGCCACCATGGTGGGCAGGTTTCAGCTGAGCTTCCAGATTAAGACAGATCTGGAATAAAGACTTGATGATATATTTCTGATATATTGTTGTTGTTTTGTGCCATGGAGTCGGTTCCGACTCATAGCGACCCTACACAGGGTTTCTGGGGCTTTAATCTTTACAGGAGGTCTGGTAGCGTAGTGGTTACGAATCGGGCTGCGAACCTTAAGGTCAGCGGTTCAAAACTACCAGCCGCTCCGCGGGAGAAAGATGAGGCTTTCTACTCCCGTAAAGATTTACACCCTCGGAAACCCTGTACAGGGTCGCTATGGTCAGAACCGACTCGACGGCACTTAACAACAACAACAACAACAATCTTTACAGGAGCAGACCTCCTCATCTTTCTCCGGTGGAACCGCTGGTAGTTTCGAACTGCTGACCTTGCATCTCTCAGTCCGATTCATAACCACTACGCTGCCAGAGCTCTGAAATATTAGCCAATGAAAGCCCTACAGATCTCAGCAAAACTCTGTCTGAAAGAGAGAGTGCTGGGAGAGGAACTCCTTAGGATGGAACACACTAAAACTAGACTGTGGCCACAACAATGGAATCTGGAGGATAGAAGATGGGTAAGACCTTGTAGCACTTCATTCTGTTATCCATGGGGTCACCGTGGGTCAGAGCTGCCTTCATGGAAGTGGACAACAAAGGTCAAGAGATGAGTAGTTGACCCATTTGTGCCAGATTTGCCACTGGAGACTCAGTCTCAGGCCCAGCTGTCCTATTACATGTGTGTCTCCTGCTGCTACTAGAAGTGGAAATACATGTTTTTCTTCTTTCATTCTTTTGGAGACCATCGTAGATTGACATGCAGTCTTAAGAAACAACATGGAAAGATTGTGGGACCCTTTATCTGCCTCCCCCAATAATAGAATCTTGCAAAACTCTAGCCCAGTATCCTAACCAGGATATCAACAGTGATGCCACCCACCGAGGAAGTGTTTTGAAGAATTCGATTTAAGCCTTTGAGAACATAGCAAATCCACCAAAGTGCTCCCGGCTGAGAAGTCTTAAGACCACGTTTTGTATGTTTGTGAACAGACCATTTTATTCAGAGATGGGGGTGCAGCAAGAGAAGTGTCCATCCACCCATGGGCGCTCTCATGTGTCCTCCCTCACAGACAACACCTGCCATGAAGAAGGACCAGCTTTGCATTTTGCTTCAGTTTAGGGTTTCCTAAAATTAAGATGATGGAATGTGCAGAGGGGTATGTTCCAGCTATAAGGACGCAGACCAGGAAGGTGAGGCTCCCAGACGGGAGGATCTGAGATGCAATCAGGAAGCCAGCCACATAGTGTGACAAGTAGAGAAGGAGAAAGGACAGTATAGATGACATTGAGCTGAGGTAGGAGCATCTGGTCAGGTCCCCGGCTCTGTCCACCATGCGACTCATCTTCCTGGAGTGTCTCCAAAGGGAGACAACGAGGAGAAGGACAGCAAATAGGAATATCAGCAATGGCAGTCCAAGTCCCATGACAAGAAAGATGTATGGGAAAGCAGAGATTTCTTTGCTCAGGGTTGTGACATTTCTTGAGAGATACCGCAACAGTATATTTTTGGAAATCAGCCATGTGTATTGGCTGTGGCCAACAGAAATCATGGATGAATAGAACAGAGACATCAAGATGAGCCAGGGTACCAGCTTGGAGATCCTCTTCTTCAGCCAGCGGAAGAGTGGGTTAGCAATGATGGCAATCTTGGCACAGTAGAAAACACCAAGCCACGTGGCACACCAGAGTCCTAAATCATTGATAAGCATGCAAATAGCAAAATGTCCACTCATTAAAGATATTTCTGTCAAAGAGAGAAGGAAGAGTGTTGTGTAGAAGAACAACACCTGCAGGCAAATCCGGAAGATGGCCAGACAGGAGAGAAGGAGAGTCAGGGAAGTCCACGTTCTCGTCTTGACCAAATCCATGCCAATTGCAACCAAAATGATGCTGTTGGCCAAAATCCCACTAAGCAACTGTGCTGCTGAAAACAGAAGGTGGATAATGAGGTGAGAATCTAGCATTTTAAATAGGAAAAAAAAAAAAAAGAGTTATCTTAAAGAATAACGTCCTTGTAGATTTCAGCGCAGTCTGGATGATATTAGGAGTCTGCTTTGTTCAGCTGGAGTAGAAGCCCTTTGGGACTAGGTTTCTAATGATGAAGCAGTATGGAGTGGGTGGGATAATGTGGCATATTGTGTATATGACAGTGTCTCAGTTGAGTTCTGAGACAGTCAAATAAGAAAGAGATACTCCGGCAACAATTTGTTTCTTGGTGATGTGTTTTGCATTTTCCAGGTCTAATAGCTTTCCATGTCATCCCAAGCAAATGATGGAACTGGACACCATCACGAGGCTGGTGCAATGGTTGCTCCTCGGGGTTCTCAGCTGCAGCTCTACAGCCTTTCATCTCTACCCTGAGTCATTCTGTGCCTATAGTTGTTGTTGTTGTTAGCTTTGGTCCAGTTGGCACTTCACGGTGACCCCATGCACAATGTAATGAAACACTGCCCGGTCAGGCAGCATCCCCATGAGAGATTACAGATCACATCATTGCAATCCATAGTGTTTTCATTGTCTGATTTTTGGAAGTAGGTCACCAGCTTCCTGGGTCAAGTCTGGAAGCTCTGCTGAAATCTGTTGAACATCACAACAACATGAAAACCTCCACTGAAGACAGGTGCATGAAGTGCATTGGTTGGGAATTGAACCCAGGTCTCTTGCATGAATGGACAGTGAATAAGGAAGATCATAGAAGAATTAATGCCTTTGAGTTGTGGTGTTGGAGGAGAATACTAAAGGTGCCATGGACTGCCAAAAGAACCAATAGATCTGTTTTGGAAGAAGTGCACCCAGAGTGCTCCTTAGAGGCCAGGATGGTTAAACTTCGTCTCTCATACTTTGGACATATTGTCCGGAGGAAACAGTCGCTGGAGAAGGATGTCATGCTGCGTAAGGTGTAGGGTCAGAGAAAAAGAGGAAGACCCCCAATGAGATGGATCGGCCGGGTGGCATCATTGATGGCATCAAGTGTGGCAGCGGTAGTGAGGTTGGCCCAGGATTGGACATTGTTTCATTCTGCTGTACATGGGGTCACTCTGAGTCAGTTCTGACTCGATGGCACCTGACAACAACAACAACAACTCTTGCATGAAAGAAGCAAATTTGAGCCCCGAACCACCACTGGCTCCTAAAACTAAATTACTTTTGGCCAACCCACTGCCAGATTATAATGGAGGGAATGATTTATTAATCATTGGGAGAATCAAGTCTTTTCCAATTGAGTTACATAATTGACATGTGCCTAAAGTTTGGCATCAGTTTGGGGTTTCCAAAAATTACAACAATGAAGTGTGCCAAAGGGTAATGACCCTGCCACTGAGACACAGACCAAGAAGCCCAGGCTAGCAGCTGGAGGATGTGAGAAGGGAGCAAGGTGCCGGCTGACTCCATAAAGAGGCAGCTGTTCTTATGGGTGCTTGCTATCTTACCTAAAAGTGGTGTCATAAAGGGTTCTTTTGTGGTTTATTTTTAGATTTTATCGTGAGGTTTACATGGGAGTACATCAGCTTTACACAGATCCTATCTTCTTTCGTTTCATTGCAATGATTACAATCCCTTCCATGCATCATCAAATAACCAAAGGGTATACCACACAAGCCCGCCCCCCCCCTGCCCCCAGCCACCAGCACATAGCCCTTCTCCCTCCCTGAGTCCAGTGTCCCCAGCCACTCCATCTGTCCATGTCATCATCTCTGTCTCCATCCCTGGCATCACTGCTTCTCTGGGTAGGGTCACACAATCCATTCTTCTCACTTGATGGTCCCAGGGATCTCTGTTCCTGGGCTGCAAAATCAATCACTCTCCCCCTTTTGTCAAAAAACATCTACCTCTATATTTCCTACCCTCACAGTCAGTCCTGATGGCAATTATTCACTATTATACAAGAGTCTTATCCCCATTTTCTTTCGCCAGCCTGGTCCCAACGTATTGGAAATCATTCAGTGGTGATTCTACCTACCCCTGCCCCGTCTGGAACCAGGCTCCCTCTTGAAAGCTTGTAAGCCAGTTACTTCTTGCCTTTATATCCCCCCCCCTCCCCTTTTGGGTAGCCAATGTCTAAGTCGCCCATCCCTGTCAACCCTGTGTACCAAGGAGGTGGGAGTGATCCTTGCTGTAAAGATTTGTTCCTCTGTTAGATCAAGTTTTGCTACGTACATCCATACATACAGTAAATTTCATCAAATTGTAGCAGGTTACTCTTTTTTCCCTTCCCTCTTCTTTCTTCTTCCAGTTGAGTTCATAAAGGGTTCTTAAGGTGAGTCAAAACTCCTGGAAGTAATGCTCAGAAAAATCAGATGACGGTTTGCATTGGGAAAATCTACTGCAATTGATCTCTGATGTGTTAAAACCAAACCAAGATGTCACTTTGAAGACTAAGGCCCACCTGGCCCAAGTCATGGTCTTTTCAGTCACCTCATATGCATGTGAAAACTGAACATTGAATAAGGAAGACTGAAGAAGAATGTATGCCTTTTAATTAAGGTGTTGGTGACAGTTATTGGATATACTATGGAATGCCAGAAGAACACCAAATCCATGCTGGAAGAGGGAGAACCAGAGTGCTCCTTAGAAGTGAGAATGGTAATGCATCTCATGTTCTTTAGACATATACTCAGGAGGAACCAGTCCCTGAGAAGGACATCATGCTTGGGAAAGTAAAAGTCAGAGATTAAGAGGAAAACCTTCAAGGAGATGGACTGATACAATGACTGCAACTATGGGATCAAACAGAGCAATGGATGTGAAGATGGTATGGGACCTGGGGTCTCTATGAGTAGGAACTGACTCAATGGCATGGAACAACAATATGAATCTAAGGTATAGAAAACTTGCAGTTATACTCTATAACGTGATTAGCTGTGATAGGCATTCGGTCTTCTTCTCTGAATATGGAAAGCCTATGGACTGCAGAACTCTACTTAGCTTTTCTTATGTCTACTTCAGTGGGATGAAGGGAACAGATTGGGACGTCTCCAAGAGGCCATCGAGGGAAACCGTTGATGTATCTTAAAGTAGACCCAAATTCACTAGGAGAGGCTATATTGTTGTAGGAGAACCACTAGGAGAGGCTGTGTTCTCTCACACAGACAGAAGAAAGTATAAAAAGAGGAAGGATACCATATGATGTGGCAGCTGGATGCCAAAGGTCGCCAGGAGTCACCAGAAGCTGGGAGAAAGGCAGGGATAGATTCTTCCTCAGAGTTTCAGAAGGAGCCAACATAGCCAGTTCTCAGACCTTGGAATTCCAGGAGAAATTTCCCATTCTGAGTCTGGAATAGCAATATAGGTTTTCATCACTGGCAGCACGGCAGATCGGTAGGAAACAACTCTGTCAAATTCTATTTCTTAGCATGCTGTTTGTCTTTTGTATCCTGGCATCTGGAGCGGGCACTGGGTTCACAGACATTCGATAATAACTTCTGTTAGAACTGGTCCAGGAACCAGGAGCAGGCTTCACAGAGAACTTCATTTCATGTGGAACAGGTTGTCTAACATGAGAATCCCAAGGAGGAAAAATTAAAAATTCATCAAGTTTAAGCTCCATTTTTTTTTTTTTTTTGAATTAAATAATTTACATGCCCTGATCTCCAGCATGCATGTAGAAAGGCTGTTGAAAGCATTACACTCTTGGCCAAATGCCACCAACAAGAGACATCGCTCCTTAGCCTGGGAGACACAGTATTTGTGTGACTGCTACCCTGTGTCTTGTTCAGCTCCCAGACAGTTGCACCCAGTTAGGGTGGAGACCTCCCAAGACAAACCATTCAAACCCCCTGCCATCAGGTCCCACCACATCCATTAAGACAAGTATGACGTCAGTCATGCTTTGTGTCAAATGAGGGTGGGTTCACTATTTGCATGACCAATACAGGACTGAATAAGAAATGCAGTCTCAACTGCAGAGCCTCTTTGGGTCTTTTAAGACATTTGTCTTTGTAGGCAGGACCCAAAGAGAATTTCTCGTTCTCGAGATGCAAAGTGTACATGGCTGGCCTCACCTGTCAGTCAGCAGCATTGGACGTTGGCAGCTCTACATGAACAAATGGCTCGGAGCAGATGGAGCAAGACTGATGTGAAGAAATTCACATGATTATTACCCCAAATTGCCCTGATTAATCCTGTTCACTGGCATTCATCTGTAATGAGCAATCGTTACAAGAGACAGGAAGAAATATTTTCAAGGTAGTTGACAGGCGGAAGGAGTTGCTTATTTATATTCAAATCATTTAGCTTCTCAAAAGAAGCCTGTTTTTTTTTTTTTTTTTTTTTTGCCCAATGAAGTTAGACTGACATTGGCAAGCCTTTCCCAAGGTGGTGGCATTTGTGAGTTGCCACTGAGCCAGCTCCAATTCATAGCGACCATATGCACAACTGAGGGGAACATTGCCTGGTTCTGTGTCATCACTGGTATATTTCAGTCCATTGTGGAGGCCAGTGGGTCAATACATTTCGCAGCGGGTCTCCTTCATTTTTGCTGACCGTCTACTTAACCAACCATGATGTCCTTTTCTCATGGTTTGCCTTTCCAGATGACCAAAACGACATTGAGTCTCACCATCCTCACTTCTAAGGTGCATTCTGGTTGTATTTCTTGTAGGACTGATTTGTTCATTTTCCCGGTAATCCACAATATATTCAGTATTCTTCACCCAAACCAGAGTTCTAATACATCAAATCTTCTTTGGTCTTCCTTATTTACTGTCTAGCTTTCACATGCACACGAGGCGATTGAAATTACCATGGCTTGGGTCAGGTGTGCTTTAGTTCTCAAATGGACATCTTTGCTTCTCAACATTTTAAAGAGATCTTCTACAGAAGATTTGCCTGGTATAATATCTCCCTTTATTTCTTGATTGATGCTTCC